CATGGGAATTGTGTGCGTATATTCTATGACACTTAGAGGAATATGGATTTGTACCCTGGTATAGATACCGAAGGTCGCTTTGTCAACTATCAGGATTAATTTCTTCGGAATTGGGTTATCCCTTTAGTACGAGTCCCGTAGGGTCATCACAATGAGGCTGAGTCTACCTGGACACAGGAGGATGTTATTTGCTTGCAATTTCCTTAAATCAAGGAAGAAGGTAAAAGCGAATTCCGAGGACGGAATTCCTTTTGTTAGGGGTGAAGAATGTAATGCCCCTAATTTTAGAAAGGATAGTCTGGGTAGTTTAAATTAATGATTTTTTTATTTTATTGCGTTTTTATTTAATTATGTGACTTATGTGCTTATTTGCATAATTGTCTAATTGTTTATTTGTTTTAAATTAATTGCTCAATTTTAATTATTTTTTTTAACAAATTAATTATTTATTTGTTTTAAATTAATTGTTTAGTTGTTTTAAATTAATGGTTGAATTGTTATTTAATTATTTGATTAATTGGTGTTTTAATTGACGTGTGTTATCTAAGTGGCTTGTATGACTTAATTGGTATATATTTTATATGGTCGTGTATATAGTTTAAGTTTAGGATTTTCTTTTATGAAGATTAATTAGCTGACTTATAATTTAGTTGGAATTAAAAGTAGGTTAAATAACAGCCTATATATATAGAACAATATACGTCTGCTAGGGTTGGAAAACCATGTTCACGTAGTAGTGATTGGAGAGATAAACAGATAGGGTCTTAAGAGATAAACAGAGAGGGTCTTGAGAGATTAATTAAGGGTGTTGCTCGTGGGTTGAGCCAAGAAGCAACAGAGGAAGATAACAGTGATCAGAGGAGGAAGAAATAGTCTTGGGGTTGCCAGAACGTAGAGACGATGTTGAAAGGTTTCAGACCGAAACCTAAAGGCAAGTTTCATTCTGTATCTTTCTTGTAAACTTGTGTTCTGTGCATTCTATATGGTCTTCAGGAAGTTAATTAAACATTTAAAATGTATGAATTATGCACGATAAATTTAACTGAAATTTGTTGTATGCCTTTGTTTTAAACTGTAACTGTTTTGGTCATAAATTGTTCCGATTGTGGTTTAAGCTTTTTTCAATCAATTCATAAGGGAATGTGAAGAGTTTCTAAAATGGTTTGGATTTAAATTGGACTCTAAGAAGTTTAAAAACAATGGGGACAGAGACTAGAAACTTCGCCGGAAGCGAAGAAGGTAAAAGGACGAAGCAGAGAGGGGCTCTCAGGGAGAAAGCCGGCTCCCTAAGGATTTTTGTTCTGTAATTTATTGTTCATTTGGGATTATTAGGGATCCACTGGATGGATTCCCGAGTTGTATGGATTAGAAGATTAAATTATATAATTCTATAATGTCATTGGAGGATTTTCGTATTTAGAATTCTTTTCAGCGTATTATTTTATTTTTAATTCTTTTGTATTCTTACTTGTTTACATATTGATTGTCTGATATCCCTCAGATTTGTACTTGGACTTGATCACCAGTGGCTCTAGAATCGAGTGGTATCACATCGGCCCGTAGAGATCTAGGTAATTTGTGCTCATTTAGCATGGTTCTAGCCATTTCTTGAAGAGATCTATTTTTCCTTTCAACAATTCCATTTTGTTGGGGAGTCCTAGGTGCCGAAAGATTGTGATTGTAGCCATTTTCGTCGCAAAATGTTTCAATGTCTTGATTGTCAAACTCTTTGCCCCTATCACTTTTAATGGTTTTAATTTTACACTCCTTTTCGTTTTCAACTCTTTTGCAAAATTTTGAAAGAATTGAATGAGCCTCATTTTTGTGTCCAAGAAAGAATACCCAAGTGAATCTAGAGTTGTCATTTACAATCACAAAGGCATAAAGTTTACCACCAAGACTAGTAATTTTCTTTGGTCCAAAAAGATCCATGTGAATTAATTCAAGTGGTTTTGAAGTGGTTATATCCTTTTTCCTTTTGAAGGAGGACTTGATTTGTTTACCAATTTGGCAAGCACTACACGGTTTGTCTTTTGAGAAATTTGTCTTAGGGAGACCTTTGACTAGTTCATTTTTAGAAAATCTTCAGATTAAATCCATGTTAGCATGACCTAACCATCTATGCCACAACCAACTATTTTCATTTGATGACATAAAGAATTTAACATTTTGATCATAAAGTTCTCCTAAGAGCAAAGTATATACATTATCACTTCTAGGAGTACAAAATATTTGAGATTCATTTCTTTTAACGATGTATTTATCTGATTTAAAAATCACATCAAATTCATTATCACAAAGTTGACGACACTAAATAAATTATGCTTTAAACCTTCAACAAGTAAGACATGTTCAATAGATAAGGAGGAAGAAATACATATGATTCCAATGCCAACTACCTTCTCTTTAGAGTTGTGTCCAAAAGTGACGCTTCCTCCGTTGTATGTCTCTAGAGAAGAGAATTTTGTACGGTCACCCCGTAATATGTCTTGAACATCCGCTATCTAGAAACCATTTGTCCTTAGAAGATATGGAGGCCTTCAAACCAACCTACAAAAGAGATTTCAAATAGTCTTCACTTGGTACCCAAATTTTGTTAGGTCCGTAAGAGTTAGCAAGAGGCACGTATGTTCCCTTAGGAACCCACTTCTTTGTGACTTTTAGCCTTTTCTTTGAGTAATCTTGAATAAGATGACCCATTCTTTTACAATAATTGCATCTAGAATTTTTGTTTTTACTTTTAACAAAATGGTTAGCCAAAGGTTCTCTCTTTTTCAATAGGCATGCCCTTTTGTCAAAAGGATCATATCCTAATCCAATTTTGTTAAAAACACTTTTTTAAGCACCTAGCATAAGTTCTAAATTTTTTGTTCCTTGAGTAAACTTTGTTAGACCATCAACTTGGTCTTCAATGATTAATTTCAAGGATTCATTCTCTTTTTGAAAAGTTTGAAGTTTGTTTTCAATGATAAGTTTTTCTCTCCTTTGAGCAACACATTTTTTGACCATTTTACCTAACTCATCATGTAATTCCTTAAAACCATCAAGTAATTCATTATATGCATCAACTAAATCATCATAAGTCATTTCACATTTAGAAGAAGAGTCAAAATTAGAATTTACCTCATCCCTGTTTGCCATGAGACAGAGGATACCCTTTTCCTCATCGCTTTCGGAGCCGTTTGAGTCGTCATCTTCCCAAGTGGCTTGCATTGCTCTTCTCCTTTTCTTTTCCTCTTTATAAACATGACAATCAGCTTTGAAATGTCCCAGTTTTTCACCATAAAAATAGGTAGGGGTGTCTTGTTTGCTTTAACCATTAGATGATTCATCCTTTTTGAACCTATTTCTATGAAGAAATCTTTTGAAGGATTGAGTGATAAGAGCCAGATCATCATTTTCACTTTTGTTGCTGGCAACTTCCTTTTCTATTTGAGAGACTTTGAGAGCAATTTCTTTCTTTTGATGATGATCTCCTTCTCTATCTTTTAGAGTGATCTCCCATGTGAGAAGAGAGCCGAGAAGTTCATCCAACTCAAGTGTGTTGAGATTGTCAGCTTCCTTTATTGCAGTTGCTTTTGCATCCCATTTTTCTGGTAAGCTTCTTAGAATTTTCCTTGCAAGATCAGAGTTAATAATAGTTTTGCCAAGATGTTTTAAGCCATTAATAATGTCAGTAAATCTCACAAACATTGCACTAATAGACTCATTTTCATTCATGCGAAACAGTTCATATTGATGCATGAGGATGTCAATTTTGGATTCTTTAACTTATGATGTCCCTTCATAAGTAATCTGAAGTTTATCCCAGATTTCTTTAGCTGTGGTACAAGTAGAGACTCTATTATATTCACTAGGACTTATAGCACAATTTAGATTGACTTTGGCTTTAGCATTCAAGGAAATAAGTTTATAATTCTCGGTGTCCCATTCAGCTTCAGTTTTAAGGACCCTTCTTGTGTCAACAACTTTCATTAGAACAAAAAGTCCATTAACTATAACTAACCAAATTTGATAATCTACGAATTGAAGAAAGTCTATCATTCTATTTTTCTAATAACCATAGTTTGTTCCATCGAACCAAGGAGGTCTAGAATTAGATTGACTTTCTTGATGAAAGTGACCATTTAAGTTTGTCTTGATCGTTCTCTAATACACTTAAGTCTTTTCAATAGAGATTAGGTTCTGATACCAATCGTTGCCCAAGTATTGACTCTAGAGGGGGGTGAATAGAGTCTAAGCAAACTTAGGTCAATTTTTCTTTTGATTCACTAACTAGAACTAAGCTTAACTTCTTTAACAATTCTTGAATGAAGCAATCTGAATTTTAAGCTTCAAAAGACAATATTTATTAAGAAATTTATCAAGCTAAACATGGAGCTATAAATACAAGAGATAGAGATAGAAATTGCAAACATGTATTTAGCGATTTTAGTGAGGTTCGAAAACTCCTACTCCTCGGCTCAAGACCCCTCTTGTAATACCCCTAAATTTTAAGGTTTTTATTTATTTATTTTATTTCATTTTTATTTGGTTACGTGGCTATTCGAATTGTTTGTGCATTTGTTTTAGGATTTTATTTGGTTGTTATTTGGTTGTCATTTAAATATTAATTATTTAGTGTTTATTTTATTTATTTATTTTTACTTGGCTAATTGGAGTTGTTGGTGTGTTTATTTATGTGTTATTTAAATGTAATTATTTTGTAGTAATTTTGTAGTTAATTGTAAATTTTCATTAAGGTTATTTTTTATTTATTTTTAGTAAATTGTGTGGATGGGTAGGTATATATATATATATATGTAAATTAAAGTGTTATATACATATATATATATATATGGATATATTTAGCATATTATAAATAAATATATATAAACTATATTAATGTGTTTACATATATATATATATGGATGTAGGTGTGCATATAGATAAACTATATGTGCACGGTAGTTTAAGGAAATTATGATGTTAATTTATTATTATAAGTTTGCATGTGTAATTGTACTATTAAATTATTAAAATATTATATCATTAGATTTCAATGTGGGACGTGTCATTGGTGTGTGGTTTAGATAAAATATAAGTGCACAGTTTGTTGAATTGGAAGTTGAATTGTGTTTTTATTTATTTTTATTATTTATAATGTTGTAACAATTAGTGGATGTACAAGGTAAAAGTGGATTGACTGAAAGTTGTAACATATATGGGTGTGGTATGGTGTGGTTGGATGTAGGTGGGTAGTGTAGAATCACTTTAGGTTATTTTATTATTTATATATATAGTTCATTATATGGGTATTAGAAACATAGCAAACGAAAAAAAAAAAAAAAGACACAAAACAGAGGGCGGCGAAGAGAGAGGAAGAAATAGAGAGAAGGGAAATCAGAGAGGTAAGGCTAAGGATTTTGACCCAAAATTTTAAGGGAAGTCTTTGTTCTACTCATTATCTTTGTCTTTTATGGTCGATTCATCTGTAGAACGACTTTAGAGAATTATTTGTAAATTAATTTGATTATATTTATGCTAAGGATGGACCTTAACAGAGGAATAAGTATGTGTGTATATATATATATATATATATATATATATATATATGAATTTAGTTTTGTAGTTTCTGGTTTTTTTTTATTTCATACAAAATTATTGCAATTGCGTAAAATAACTACCCAATTTGTACGGACCATCAGCAGCTTTTCGTCCTCTTCCTTTACTGTGGGTTTATTGATTCATTCTTTGCAATTGATTTAATCTTTGAAATTTATTTTGCAAGTCTATTTGTCTTGCAATTGATGGTGCAAGTGGGTTTGTTTGGTTTGCAATTTAAATCATTAATTGTATTTGGTTAATTACTGTAGGATTGGGTTTATTGGTTTTGCAATTTAAATCATTAATTGCATTTGATTAAATTACTGTAGGATTGGGTTTATTGATTTTGCAATTTAAATCTTTAATTGCATTTGATTAAATTACTGTAGGAGTGGGTTATTTGTTTTAAGCTGTAAGTTGCATGGTAAGGTATAAAAAAATAAAAAAAAATATAATAGTAATAGTAATAGTAATCAAGGCTACATTATTGGTAGCATGAAATTTTTAATACTTTTATAAAAATTGTTACTTTGTTTAAGTGGGTTTAATAAGTTATGTTAATAATTTCGGATGATGGTAAGGTTTAATTATCATGTTTATAGGTTTGTAGTTAAGAAGTTATTTAAATTGCAAGTTTCCTGTGTGATATTTATAATTTCTTATTTTGCTATATCAATTGTTACAGATTATGGAATGATTATAATTATACATGTGATTATATATGTATATGAACTTATGCATACTTTGATATAAGTTCACATAGTAGGACCATTGTCAGGATATGGTCTCAGAAGCACCATTGTTAGGATATGGCCTCAGAAGCACCATTGTTAGGATATGGCTTACTGATACATATATGGGCAGGCTATTAAGTCTAGACCTATACGTGTAGTCAAACCATTGTCAGGATATGGTTATGACTTTATATTGTGCCATTGTCAGGATATGGCTATAGTTACTTACATAAATATATTTTAATTGGGTACCATGATACGAGCTTGAGATCTTGGGATCGATGGTTATGGTTGGCGTATATTGTCAGGTGAGATGAGTAGTTGGATATAGGGATGTGTGTGCCCTGGTAGAAGAGGTACTCATGACCACCTTGTGTGCACTTGCATGAGACCTACTATCCGGTTGAGGCTGTCTTATGATCCACTGAAAATCTATAGTATGTATACTTATGTATATTGACTTACGTAGTTATTGCATGAGTCGGACTAAGATGGATCGTTTATCGGGGCTCTGTTTGGGATGTATTAGAAAGGGCTTGTTCATGGGTTTTGACCCACCTTTGTTGTTATTTTTTCAGATCCTCGACAGTTCCAGACGTAAAGTCAGTTCGTGCAGAGAAGAGGCCAGACTTTATCACTCTTCTGGTGTCATAGACGTAGGACCTCCACTATATTTTCGCTATCATTTATTATTTCTGAGTTAGACATTTTTTTGTTTCGTCTTTAGTTGGGATTTTTATTAGGGGTCCACATTGTATGAATTCCCAAGTTGTACTCTGGAGGTTTTATTCTTATAATGAGAATTTATTGGAGATTAATGTATTAAAGGATTTATTATTTAATTATTAATTTATATTTCCCTTTCAGCGTTATTTATTTATTTAATTTTTATTCCTCTTGTATTCTGTGCTTATTTATTATTGATTGACTGATATTCCCTAATTTTGTGCACGGACCTGATCAACTCATGTTCCGAAGTTAGAGGGTATCACAGTTGGTATCAGAGCACTCTAGGTTCAAGTGTCTCTAGGGTTCGTTCGTATAAGACTTCCGCATAGCGTATTCTTTTATTAGAGCTTAAGTATAGGATTCATTGTAATCCTTTACGGTTCGCTTAAATCATACTAATGTCTATCTTTCGTGTTAACAGAATGGTTAATATTGGAAGAAGATGGGAAGGACAGCAGAGGAGAGCGGCGCGTAGACAACAGGATCGTCTGCGACGTCAGCAGGTTGCAGAGGAGCAACAACTGCCTAGGTTTCAGAAGGAGGATGAGCAGCAGCAGACTCAGGGGTTTCAGGATCAGAATGAACATCAGGGCAGTTATCCTGAGTATCCTTCTCAGTTAGCTAACATCATTTCTCAGGCTGTAGCAGCAGGCGTAACAGCTGCACTTCAGAATCAGCCACAGGTTCAGTAGGCACCTGTGCCAGTACCGGTAGTTCAAGCTAGTCCTTGGGAGAAGACTAAGAGTTCTTTTACAATAGGGAGCCCACCTCAATTCTCAGGCTCCACCGATGTGAGTGTGGTTTATCAGTGGAAAAAGGACATAGAGCGTCATCTTCACTTAGTTGAGTGCACGGAGGTGCAAAAACAAATGTTTGCTACCTTTAAGCTTGTAGGGGATACACTCCAGTGGTGGGAGTCAGTTACCACCATAGAGGAGAGGACTTCATTAACTTATGATCAGTTTAGTGCTCGCTTTGATGAGAAGTATTTTCCATATGCAATCAGAATAGCTATGAAGAAGGAGTTTCTTAACTTAGATCAGGGGAACATGACTGTAGCAGAATATGAACAGCAGTTTACACGCTTATCTCTCTTTGCTCCAGAGGAGGTAGATACTGAGATGAAGAAACGTACTAGCTTTGTTAAGGGGCTGACCTGGTCGATTAAGCGAGTCATTACAGGTAGTCTAGCCTACATTACTTATGCTCAGGTGGTGGACGCCGCTTTACAGCTTTATCAGTTGAATGTGGAATTCAGACAGACTAGGGGTGAGAAGCGGGGTGACAGAGACTCTGTTAATCAGCCAGCTGAGAAAGGAGATGGTAATGGGCATAGACAGAATGATAAGAGCATATTTTAGGGACAACAGCCTTGGAAGAAGCACAAGAATGGTTTAGATGCTCAGAGAAATGGAGCACCTATTCAAAGGCAGCAAAATGGGGCACCACAAACAGTAGAGGGTCAACCTCAGGGTAACCAACACAAGAAACAATTTAGCTCTTTCAGAGGCTTTTGCTATGGTTGTGGAGAGCTCAGACACACAGCTAAGAGGTGTCCTAGGGCTATGTAGGGACATCATATGCAGCAGGGGCAGCGACCACCATTTCCCTTACCTGCTCCACAGGTGCCACACATTCAGGGACAGGTGTTCCCGGCTTTACCAACACCACCGCCACCACGAGGGCAGGTATCGCAGTAGCTGCACTATGGAAGGGTGTATAACCAAATGCCACAGGACGTTCAGACTTCTCAAGCTATAGAGGGTATGTTTCCTATACACGGTAGATATGGACGTGTTTTGTTTGATACAGGTGCTACACATTCCTTTGTGTCTAGTTCATTTGTTATCTTATCTGAAATGACTACACAGTTATGTGACCGACCCCGTAGTATTGGTACACCTTTAGGTGTTACTTCTATTTTGCATGAAAGTGATGGACCTGTGACACTAGATATTGGTAGACTTAGATTTCTAGCCAACCTATTGGTCTTGGACATGCATTCTTATGATGTGATACTTGGGATGGATTAGTTATCTCATTACCATGCTCAGGTTAATTGTAACGATAAGTCTATTGTGTTTGCTATACCGGGTCAGGATATGTATATTATTGCTATGCCACATTCTAACGGGGGATCTAACACTCATTTATTGTATATTGAGGAGGAGTCTGAAGAGGAGATTATTGTAGTACTGGATAGTATACCGATTGTACAGGAATTTTCGGACGTATTTCAAGAGATTCCAGGGTTGCCACCGAGTCGAGAGATAGACTTCATGATTGATTTAGCTCCAGGCACTACACCTATTGCTAGGGCACCATAAGGATGGCACCGTTGGAAATGCGAGAGCTAAATGATCAAATTCAACAACTTCTTAGCTAGGGTTTCATTCGTAGAAGTACTTCACCTTGGGGAGCACCAGTGTTGTTTGTGAAAAAGAATGATGGCTCACTTTGCATGTGTGTAGATTACAGGGAGTTAAATAAGGTTACTATTCGTAACAAGTATCCTTTGCCCAGGATCGTTGACTTATTTGATCAGTTAAAAGGAGCTACTTATTTCTCCAAGATTGATTTGCAATCTAGCTATCATCAACTTCGAGTTAAGGAGCAAGATGTTCCTAAGACAGTATTTCTCACAAGATATGGATCTTATGAATTTCGGGTCATGCCTTCTAGATTGACTAATGCGCCATCTGTCTTTATGAACTGGGTGAACAGGGTCTTCAGGGCTTACTTAGACTGGTTTATTCTAAGTCAGAGGAGGACCATATTAGACATCTTCGCATAGTGTTACAGACACTGCGTGAGCATCAGTTGTATGTCAAGTTCAAAAAGTGTGACTTTTGGCAGCGAAAAGTGAAGTTCTAGGTCACGTGGTGTCAGATGAGGGAATAGTGGTGGATCCAGCCAAGGTCTCAGCTGTTTTAGAGTGGGGAAAGCTTACCTCACCCATTGAGATTCGCAGTTTTCTGGGATTGACAGGATATTATCGCAGATTCATCTAGGGCTTTTCGAATATAGCAGGACCACTCACCCATCTGACTAAAAAGGGGGTACCGTTTATATGGGATAAGCATTGTCAGACTGCATTTGACACATTAAAGAGTAAGTTAACTTCTGCACCTGTTCTAGCCACTCCCCAGAATGGGATAGAGTCTCTTGTCTACATAGATGCTTCTTTGTAGGGTCTGTGATGTGTTTTAATGCAGGAGGAGCGACTGGTTTCTTATGGGTCTCGTAAGCTTAAGCATCATGAGCTTAACTATCCAACGCACGATTTGGAGTTAGTAGTTGTGGTCTTTGCTTTACGCATTTGGAGGCATTATCTGTTGGGGGAGTCCTTCAGACTATTTAGTGACCACAAGAGTTTGCAGTACCTCTTTACGCAGAAAGAGCTGAATATGAGACAACGTAGGTGGTTATAGTTTGTGAAAGATTACCACTTCTCTATACAGTATCACCCAGGGAAAGCGAATGTAGTGGTAGATGCACTCAGTCGCTGACCTAATGCCAGTCTTTCTGTGATGTTTGCTACAGAATGGAATGCTTTGAAGACTGTAGATGAGTTGTCTGATGCTTTCGTGGTGTGCATAGTAATTACACCTGCTATTATCCATAAAGTATTGAAGGCACAACTTATGGATCAACAGTGCATCGATAAAGTTACGGAGTTAACTTTTGGTGATGTTTCATTTTACTCCGTTGGGGCAGATGGGGGCTTGAGGTACAAAGGTCACCTAGTAGTACCTTCTGTTGATGATTTGAGAAAAGATGTGATGATAGAGGTTCACAAATCTGAGTTCTCCATCCATCCAGGTGGAGACAAGATGTATCAAGACATAAAGCGACAATTTTGGTAGGCAGGTATGAAGAGAAACATAACTATCTTTGTCTCCAAGTGTAGTACCTGTTAGATGGTCAAGATTGATCATCAGAGACCGCCTGGTTCTTTGCAGCTATTCCTATACCGGAGTGGAAATGGGAGAGTAATCACAATTCTATTTGGGTCATTGTTGATTGGTTGACCAAATCAGCTCATTTCTTGCCTATTCGCACTGATTTTACTTTAGAACAGTTGGCAAGGCTTTACATTGCAGAGATTATGAAACTGCATGGCATAGCGATGTCTATTATATCAGACAGGGATCCGAGCTTTATATCGGGATTTTGGGGGAGTTTCCAGCAGGCTTTGGGTACCAAACTACATCTTAGCACTGCTTATCATCCTCAAACTGATGGGCAGACCGAGAGGGTCAATTAGATCATGGAGGATATGTTTCATTCCTGTGTCCTTGATTTTAAGGGCAACTGGAAAAATTATTTGCCACTTGCAGAGTTTGCCTACAATAATAGTTTTCAGAAGACTATTGGTATTGCACCGTTTGAGGCGTTGTACGGCCGACCATGTCAATCTCCTGTTTGTTGGTTAGAGGTTGGTGAGAGCAGATTTCTGGGTCCTAAATTTATCAAGGATACCTCTGAGAAGATTGCTCTTATTTGTGATCACATGCGCACTGCCCAGAGTAGACAGAAGAGTTATGCGGATCGTCGTACTCGCAGTTTAGAGTTTCAGGTAGGGGATCAGGTGTTGTTTAAAGTATCTCCCATGAAGGGAGTAAGGCGTTTTGGGAAGAAGTGGAAGTTGTCACCACGTTTTGTAGGTCCTTTTATGATTACGGATCTAGTCGGAGCCGTAGCTTATCGTTTAGCGCTTCCGGATTATCTATATCGGGTCCATAATGTCTTCCATGTGTCCATGTTGCAGAAATTTCTACACGATGAGGATCGCTATCAGCATATAGATGTTGGCAAGATTGAGTTGCAGCTGGATGCGACATATGTTGAGCCACCATGTTGTATTCTTGATCGCCGTAATCAGGTGCTTCGCAACAAGACTATTCCTCTTGTGCGTGTTCAGTGAAACCATCATAATGAGGCCGAGTCCACTTAGAAACGGGAAGATATCATCCGTTCAAAATTTCTAGAATTGCTGAAATAAGGTAAAAGGTGAATTCTGAGAATGGAATTCCTTTGTTTGGGGGAAGTATGTAATACCCCTAAATTTCAAGGTTTTATTTATTTATTTTATTTCATTTATATTTGGTTACATGGCTATTTGAATTGTTTGTGCATTTGT